AATGCTATTTTCTCAGTTGCACTACTTATCTGACCTATGAGTCATACATTTTCACTTCATAGTGTACAAAATATTTTAAGCACCACTTTATACAATGATTACTTCTTAGCAGGGTTTTTCCTTAAAAAATAGCAGTCAGCAGGTAGTGGAGAAGCAAATTCTAAAATAAAGATCTTGTTCCTGCTGCTAGAGCTGCTCAGGGAGAAGGATCTGGATCTGACGTGAGCCTCAGTCAGAGTTGAGGTCTGAGTTTGCTGGGACTTTCCCGTTCCTCATGCATATCTATCCCCTCATTATTGCCTGCTGGCAGGTGGGTACAATCCTCTGCTTAGTCCAAACTCTCTGCTTATGTAGTGCTAAGTCAAACATGGCTTTGCAGAGAGGTAGAGGGTGTTTCCTGGAGAATCGAGCGGCTGAAAATGCACATTCCCAGACCCACGCACTACCACATCCCACCTACATGAACTCAGGAGGGTCTCTCACAGGACCACGTCCCCACTGCCACCCCCAAGGGGGCAATGATGGTTGCAGACTGCTGGAGCCAGGGTACCCATCAGCGAGGACACGAGCATCCCAAGCCAGATGCTTCACAACTGTGTCAATATGGGCAGGTCAGAAAGCGTTAAGCCAAATCTGGACCTCAGCTTTTGAAGAGAAGTGAAACTCCTCCTTGCATGGGCCAAATTCTACTCTCAGTTACAGATAGATAAACCACAAAATGAATTGCAGTGGTGTGACTGAGGGCAAAACCTTCTCTCATGGCTTTAGCCCACATGAATTCTACGTGTTTGGATTACAGGATAAAATTGTGTATTTTATCAGACATCTGTGTTGATGCTCTAAAGCAACAAGTTTCAGGAAAAATATTTCTGTATATTTGTAAATGAACAAGTAAGAGCTACTAGGTCTGGCTTTTCCAGGCTCCCAATTTTGTGCACTGATAACAGAGAAATATAGTCTCTAGGGAAGACATGTAACAAATTGTCAACCCTTAGATGAACAAATTTCAAATACACAAACTAGTCCTACTAATAGGATATGACCTTGACCTTTGTTCAAAATGTAAACAAAACTTATTAAAAATATTTTTCAAGGATTCAAAACATTTTGAAAAAGGCTTTTGCACAGTCCATCTATGCACGCTCTGAGCCTGCGGATACTACTGAGTCCAGATGAAGTCTTGTCAGCAGAAGGTCTGAGGTGAGAAAGCTTCATTTCTGCATCCCTCTGATGAGGAAAGGTGGCAGAGGCTGATTCAGGTCTCACGCTTATTCCAGGAAAACTAACAAGTGCTCTACGTTATGTCAGCATTAATGATCTCACAGGCATCATTTCACCACCCAGACACTGTCAGAGCTCATGGTGTTTGTTCTACGGCATCAGAAGGAAAAGAAAAGCAGTTTTATACTGCCTGGCAATAGCTCTGCCATAGGCTTTGTTGGGGCAGATTTCCTAAGCTGCCTAAGTAACTCCCACACCGTGCAGGAGTCTAGCTCACCATAGGGCATTTTTAAGTAAAAATCCCTACACATTATGCCATAAAAAAAAAAATCAAAATTTCAGACCTAGTTTTTCATTGTTCATTTAAAGCCTAGTTTATTTAAACGTAAGCATTCATATAATCCTCCTTCTTTCAGAAAAGCAGTCAGGCATGTACTTAGATCCCACAGATTTCAACAAGGTAAAAACAAGTGATTTGATAGTTAAGCATCAGCTCAACTAAATCAGGGCTTTTACACCTGTAAAAATAATTGAAGAACTTAATGAAGGACCCCTGTGGACCAGAATGGTAATATTTACTCTTGTTTTTTGTGCTCAAGGTACAGGGGAAGGAGAAACAACATCATTCTAAGGGGCTGATGATACTCTTCCCTTCACTGCAAAGCTGATGTAAGAATTTTTTCCCTTTTTCTTTCCTGACACTTGTTCGTTTCCTGCACTGCAGCTTACAGCCCTCTGATTTGGAACAAAGCAGCTCTTTGTGGGACCATATTACAAACTGTATTACTGAAAGGATCTGGGTTAAAAAATAAAATGCTTTCTACTCTTGAAGGTTCGGTGATCTGGTTCGCAGCAGAAACACATAAACACCTATTCTGCAGGATGCGGTGAAATGAACTGTGGATGTGCAAATGAATAGCTGGAGGAGGGAGCTTCTCAGACCAGTTTTCTGCCAGTGAAAACAACTCACTGAACAGCACACTAAGTTAAAACCCACAGTAGGTGAAATTCAAAGCATTCTAGCATACTGGTTAAACAGTGCATATTATTTTTCTGTACTTACTGTGCCCCACCAGAGAGCATCTGCATATGTGGAGAATTGGTTATTTGCATCTTTTTCCACCAGATAAACCAGGAAAGATGAAAAGATGAGTACTAAAAATCCTATGTACCAGGCTGTGATTAATTCCTAGGTAAAAGAAAGCAGGGATCAATATTCATTTGAAAGATTGAACAGAATGGCATTTCAAGGAAGACATAATGAAAAGATCTATATACTTTTTGGCATTTGAGCAGTTAAAAGTCAAATGCTTCCCTACGGATGCAAATTTTCTCTAAAACTGGACCGAATCTACTCCTATGGTTTGATGCTCCAGCAACTTCACCAATATATATTGAATTACAACAGCATATCAAGGATGACATTTTCAACATATTCTAAAAACTGTTAGTGTTTAACATGGCCTAATGTATCTGCGCTAATGCCCATTACAGTTGATCTCACTTCAGAAAATTTTAGGTATTCTGCTCAAAACTGATAAACGTTGGTTGCCTTGGCCTCTTGTTGAATCACATCAAGTGAAGATATTGACCAGACAAAATCAGCACTTAGGATTACGTACCTTGCTATGTGCATAAACTACTGAACCTAATAATTTCCAAGTGCCTCCTCTTCGGTCCATGCGCACCATACGAAGGATCTGTAGGAAACGAAGACTTCTCAGTGCTGATGTTGCAAAAATGTTACCCTGAGTTTTTGCAGAAACAACTGCTATTGAAGCGATGAGAACAATGATGTCTGAAAGAAATATATTACAGAAAACATTAATGTCCAAGTACCAATAAATAACACATACATGTACATGAGCTGAATGAGGGGACAAAAGAGGGACCCCTCCTGCAGTGGGTGGGAATCCGAAGCACTGAGATTCCTGTTTGAGGTAGGGATGTGAGGTCAGGGCTGGTGTCAAAAACTGCCTCGGAAGCCACCAGGGTGAAAACTGAGGGTAGTAATTTTGAAAACATATTGATAAGAGGAGCAATGTTGAAGGAACAACATGTAGGAGCTTTGAAGCCCGAGGTAGCAAACTGTACAAATCAGTAGATGGACTAGAACTTTTTCCCTTTATATCTTTTCCCATAGCAACTTTCTTATGAAAAGGCAAAAAAGAAAAAAAAAAAGGTAAGAAAAAAATAGAGCACCCCAGTGGTGAGAGCCCAGTGGAACCAGACTTACAAGCACACATACTAATTTCCTATGAGTACAAACAATGTGCGGTTGAAGCATGTAGTTTCTGGACACAACTCCCTTGATGTACCATTTCCTGGAAAGGAAGAAATGCAGTGCTGGGTACTCAGAAGCATTCTTTTAGCTGGCAGCCTGGAAAGTTTGTTGAAGCCCAGAAAGTGTTAGGATTTATTTCTTCCGGTCACAGATTCAAGAGTGAGTTTGTTCTGCATGAACTAATCAGCCAGCTGCCCTTTGAGCCAGAACAGCATTTAAAGGGAGATGAGGAGAAGAGGCACAGTGATGGCACACGGACACTGTGAGAAGGCAGAATGTTCTTTTATGATGATTGGGGCAGGCTCACAGGTGTGCGGGGATTGGAAAGGGGCAGAAAAAGCACTGTGTTACTTCATCCTCTCATCGTTAATTTCCTGACCTTCTGTTAAAAGCTTAAAGGGCCTTTGTAAGAAACACCTGGTTTAAATCTTAGGATTTTGTGGTGTTTGTATGTTTATATGCAAGGATAATCTAAACCCATGTTTGCCAGTGAAGAACTTCCTGAAAGCAAGTTCTTGTTGACATGAGTTTTGCTTCTTTTGTCTTGGGTATGAACGCTCATCTTGTCCCGAGCATAGTTTCAAGTCACGAATGACCCAGTAAGTGAAAAGGCCCCCCACAGGTGGGTGGCAAGGGAGACTGGCTGTACCTAGAAGCAGGAGACTCTTTCCTTAGCCTGCTGTCGTGGTTTAACCTCAGTCGGCAACTGAGCACCACACAGCCACTCGCTCACTAAAAAACCCCCCCCCCCCCCCCCCCCCCCCCCCCCCCCCCCCCCCCCCCCCCCCCCCCCCCCCCCCCCCCCCCCCCCCCCCCCCCCCCCCCCCCCCCCCCCCCCCCCCCCCCCCCCCCCCCCCCCCCCCCCCCCCCCCCCCCCCCCC